ACAAAGGCTGGAAATTTGTTTTATATATTCCATCCTCACATAAGCCTACTGTTCCCCCATACTCTTCTAAGAAAAACTTAGATCTGATACGCCAGTTAAGAGATTATGGCCTGATGTGGTGCAATACCGGGTCTTAGAGATGTTTCCTGGCCTTGGGCTCCCTCCATCTCATGGCTTGCAACCTCCAGCCTCTCTCTGCCTCCCTTTACTCCCTTCTACCAACCTGCATCCCACCTGCAAAGCTCAGAGCTCTTCTGCATGTGATGGATGGGATCAAAGTCTCTGGGGACGTTAATGCTTTGGAAGAGTGCACGGGAGCTCTGTTCCTATCAACCCTGCCTCAGGCAATAAATAAACACCCGTCACAGCAGGAAGGAGATATTTACTTTGGCTCATTAAGGTTTGCACTGAGGTGGAAGAATTAATCTGACAACAAATTATGCTGTTGTTAAGACTCTCCTGTTGCTTCTAGGCTTTTAGCATCAGACGGCCAGCTCTGCCTGCCCTTCTCAAGCTTAGCAGGGCTCAGTGGTTTGAGCCCAGGACCTAGGGAGCAAGTCAGTGATGGTGAGTCCCGGCTCAAAAGGTGATTGATTTGGCTTGTGATAGCAATTAGAGGTAATAACRTCTTTGTCACCACTGAATTGGAGGCGTTCCTCAGTCTTGCTTCATCTGACCACCCAGGACTGCTCAAGTGTGTTCAGCTACAGGGACTCTGGGTGCAATTTTGCAAGTGTTAGAACAACTGCATAGGGCAGATGCTGCTCCAGCTGCTCCTCCTTGGTGCCTGTTTCCCTGGAGGGATGCGGGGAGGCAGAACGAGGCACCGGGAGCTGCTCCGCAGCGTTTCCGCGGGGTAGGGYGCAGGCAGAGCCCGCTCTGCAGGGAGTTCTCAATCCCGTTGCTCCCGAAAGGTGGCTCGTGTTAGCGCTTCTGCCTTGTCTGCATGACCCAAACCAGCCCTCCTGCTTGCTGCACGTGCAGAGAGAGCAATTGCTTACATGGTTCCTCTCCGGGGGCTGCTAAGAGACGTTTAACATCAGTTAAGACTCCTCATAAAACGAGTCAGCGTTYGGGCAAGACAAGGCAGTGCTTGGGAGCCCTCCAAGGCAAGCAAAGGAAACACGATGCTGACAGGGGCTCGATGGGCTCATCCAAGGAGCCATGTTGTGGGAGCAGCGCTGAAGGGGAGAGAAAGGGGCTCCAGGGATACCCAGGCAGCGCTCCAGGGAAYGCAGCCGAGGGGGCTCGGAAGCCCAGCTGAGGCTGGGACCTCCTAGCAGCTATGGGTACCGCTCCCCTGGGCCAGATCCAGAGCCACCACAGCCCCACCTGACAGGCACCCATCTCATAGCCCYGCTTTGGCTTCCCACACATCACAGCCTCTCCGGTGGGAAAGGACCCCCTGCAACTGCTCCTGAGGGCTGTGGGCAGGTCGGGAAACCGGCAGCGCCTTCTCCCTGCCTTGGTGTGCTCCRAGTTTGTGCATCCCTCTGGGCACTGTTTGGCCTGATGGGCTAAAGGTTTAGCCTGGCTTAACCTGCTGCGGTAGGAGAGGGGAGCGATAGCTCCCCGACGTGAGGGCTGGGGGCTGCCGGGAGCCGCTTGTGGCTCCCTTTCTCAGCAGCTCCCGTTCTCCATCGTGTCGCACACTGTGTTTCTTGGCACCAGGCACCCCCGACATCTTGATTTGCAGACAGTCAAATAAAACAGAAAAATAATGTCCCCTGTTAATAGGTTGACACGCTGCTTGAGGCCAAGTGCGAGTATTTCTATAGCATTTGCTCTGCTGTCTTATGTCAGTAACTGTTGCTATTGAAAGTAAACACCCCAACTGGTTAAATCAACAGCGTTTTGTTTATTCAAAGCTCATAAACTCCGGTAGCTCTAGGTCACTTTATGAACTGCCAACCCCTGGGGGAAGAGAAGGAATAGTGTGAAATTATTGCATGCAGTCCACCCATCGTGAGCCTTAGAAGAAGAGGATTTATTGGCAATTAATATTTCTTGCAGAGGAAAATAATCGCATTGAGGCAGCTCCTCGCCAAATCTTGAGCCTCYTTACCGGTAGAAATGGGGAATGGATGAGAAGACCTTCTTACAGACCTCAACAGAAATGCTGCCTTGGAAAATGAAAAGCTTTCTTTACGTTATTGTTTTGGAAAGGGGTCTGCAAACCATCTAGGGAGAGGAGGAATGTGCAGGCAAAGCTGGTCAGAGGAAACCTCATGCTCAGGAGGCCCCAGCATCCTCCAACTCTCCCGTCACTCTGGTACCTCCAGGAAAGCAAACTGAAGCACCTCCAACTGCTATTTTTATTCTTCATATCTTATATTTTTAGCTGTATAGCTGTAGGTGCAGTTCCAGCTGAGCGCCAGAGCCGGGTGCTGGGGGGCTCATCCCTGCTGCTTTGGCCACTGTGTCTGGTAAAGAGAGGCCCAAAGTACTCAGGCTTTGGGGCATGCAGCCTTTGCTGWGCAGTACCTGTGCAGAAAGCACATTGCATGGCTAAAACGTGCTGCCTACCCATGCTGCTGCGTGATTGAAACACAGCTGGGTTGTGCAAACCTGCCCGCAGGACCTGGTCCCGGTGAGGGCGAAAGCACCGGTGGAGGGACCGGCTCTGCTGGCTTCCTAAGGTGGCTTTTTAGCGAGCTGGAAGGCACTAGCTGCAGGCCAGGGCAGCACYGAGGGCAGTCACAGATCAGTGTGGACAGAGCAGCCTCCCAGGAGGGTCTCCCGAGGGTTTTTGGCGTTTCCCAAGAGCTGGGYGCGTGCTGGCAGCCGGCGACCTTCCCAGCTCCCTGGTAGGTCGTGCCGTACACAAACACTGCGCTCTATGGAAGTTGGACAGAGACTTGGTCTTCAGCAGTGATTTCCAGCTTGCCCAGATCCAACTGTAATTAGGATGAGTCAGACGGTTATTTCCAGGCTAAAATTTGGCCTTCATCATCCTGAAAAAGCCTTGAGAACCATTGATCCTTAGGAGGTCAGGTATAAAGCTCCATCCCAGCAYGCTGAAGTCTGTGGGGCAGGGAGGTGAATCTGGAATTTTGACAAGTAGAGTCAGTGTGGAAGTGAAATCTGTGGACTGAGTAGGAATAAATACAGTCCAGGGCAAAGTTTAAATATGTTTTCTCCTGACTATTGCAGATATGTTTTTAATGATTGCTGTTTACTCTTAAGCCTTTGAGCTTACAAATCTGTCTTTGTGGCAAATCCATTTATGAACTCATCAAAAATTTAAGTATTTAGGGAGAGGGATTCATCATGCAGCCATGTGAAATAAATTAGCAGCTTCTGTGACAATAATCTGAATATATATTGTTAATTGGCAGTATCTTAGCCCAGCTGTTTTCATACAGTCGATGGGAACAATGAGTCATGAGGTTGCTTTCAATAATTAAAAAAAAAAAACACTCTCAAATGGCATAAGAGAGTGATAAATGTTGAATTATTTATATATATTTTTAACAAGAGTAAAAGYTCTGGATATGACTGGCAGGAGGGACTCAGCTGAGCTTCTCTTTACTGGAAAAATTGTTCTCTTCCATGGAAGCCTGTCCGAAACGTGAATGCTTGTGGTTTTCCCACCAAAGACTCTAGCCCTGGTGTTTTTTCCTATGAGGATCAGAACATGCACAGAGCTCTTTGGGGCCAAGAGCTGCTGTATTTTAGGCTTTGTGAAGGGTGCACAGCAGTAGAAGGGTGCCTGGACATCCTTGCAGAAAGCACAGCTTTGCTCCGGTCTGTGTGGAGACCCAGAACCGAACATATAGGCTAACATTTCCTTATTTTTGGCTTAGCAGTGAAGGGTGTTCAGTGAAGGGAAGACACAAGTGCTGAAGGTCTCTTGGGAACAAGCTCTTTGTCCGAGAAAGTTAAAATCCAGCCAAGACAGCTGTTAAATAGATGAACGGCATCCTCTGGAGGCCTTTGCAGTTGGGGTGGATGAATCTGGAGGAGTTTGAGTGCAGGTCATGAACTCGCAGCTCACCAGACCCAAATTGCTGCCCACCTGGTCTGGTCACAGGGAAGCTCATGATGTTTTCCAGCTGTCTGTGTGCTAGGGAAGCATTCTTGCATCTTCGTGTTCTTCGGCTCCTGCTGCTTGCTAGCAAGCTGTTGAAGCAGGATTGCAGTGATGGTGACCACAACTCTCTGAGCTTTTCTGATCATGCAGATCCCTTTCACCCCACTGAAAAGGCTAAGTAGGTGGAGAGATAGACTTAACCTTTTATTTTCTAGCTGCAGAAAAGTCGGCCACCCAGTCTGTGGCCAAGAGCAGCAGAGACCTTAGAAATCCTTCATTGCATATCTGCACATATGGGGCCTACGCCACCTGGGTCGTAACCAGAAACGAATCCATCTTCCTTCCAGTCCTCCATGCATTTTTCCTTGACTTTTGTGACCAAACTTAGTCTGTAACGCAAGGCCCTGTTCTTCGGATATTGAAGCGGAGGCAAAAAGCCCAAGCAGCAGCACACACRCATGGAGAGCACCGTGTTGTTGGCGCATGGACCGTTCCAAGTCCAACATAGAATGCCTGTTGTGTAAGAAGTGGTGGGGTTTTGTAGAAGGGTTTATTTTTATTTTTTTTTTTCTGAAGCAATTCAGCATTATGCAGTGGAATCCTCTCTGCAGGTGGAATTTTTGGGCTCCAGGGCTGTAGTGTGCCTGCACTTGAAAATTTGGCCATTTATTTGGAAACAGAGATGGGCAAGTTCCAGCTCATTCATCCAAGCTGTCCTTTCTCAAGGACAAGGAGTAAGGCCAGCACAGCTGAAACACTGCAGCCAGCTCCTGAATGTTTCCAAATAAAATGCCTTGAGTAAGTTTATTTTTCCCTCTCAAACCTAAATTTAGCACCCTGGAGAAGCTGCTTTGGCAGTCAGTGGATGGTAACGATGACAAGATCRATCTGTGGATAGTTCTGGGAAGATTTGGAAAGTCCTGGTAAAACATAGTTGATTTCATTCATGTTTGCATTTTGTCCACAGCCCAAAGGTCTGCTCATGAACTTCCAATGGTCGAAAGACAGGATATTGATAGCTGCCTTGTTTATGGAGGACAGCAGATGATCCTGACAGGACAGAACTTCACGGCAGAGTCCAAGGTGGTGTTCACAGAGAAAACTTCAGGTAAGACAGTTTTCTCCAGCTTTTCCTAATGCCATTAAACAAARGAGTATCCTGTTTTATCTCATGATCTCATCCTATGAATGAGTAGGACTGAGGTGCTCCCAAGTAACTCTACTCAAGTGAGTAGCCCCTCTCAAGTTCAAAGCAAAAATGAATCTCTGGAGGTAATCGTGTAAGAAGCATTAGTCATGGGAGCAAACATCTGCATTGTTGGCCTTTAATTTTTCAGGCAGTGTGGAAGAGTAAATCAAAGCCATGTCACAGGGAAAGCTTGTAAGAATGCTGGCACTGAGAGCCAGCAGAAGCAGGAAACGCTGTCAAAGAAATAGGAAGACTGTTGCAAGTTTCCCTGTGCTACTTTTAATGTCCTGCTTAGAAAAGACTATTGTGGAAATCTTAATTGAAATGACTATTTTTCATTGCAAATGAACTCCAAACAAAGGTTGGTACTTACACCCTTAAAACTCTGTGGGGGAGAAAATGTGCATAGTGCGTAATTTTGKGTCAAAATGAAATTATCGTCATACTGATTTGAAAGATTACATCATTTCATCATCCACATTGCTTCAGATATTTTTATGTTGATAGCTTCCACATTGCTGCTTAGAAAGAATAGTTTTAACCTTAAACAAGAACAAAACAAACATTTCCCCATAGTTTGAAGGGAAACAGTGCCCCCATTGGCAAATGAAATTCAGGGATATGAAAGGTACTGAGGTTAAATGGAAAATAATCCAAGATGTTACAGCAAATACATAAAAATCTRTTTATTGATTGGAAGCCTGCTTCTTTAAGGCTTCTTTCTCTTCCATTTTGATTATCTCTTGGCAGCTGCTGGGCTCTTGGAAGGATTTGTCTCYGCCTTTATCGCATATCCCTGGAACATATCATCAAAATTTGCATGTTACATTTGTATGCCCGAGTCTCACCTCAGTGCTCACTGCCTCTGCATTGCTTTCATGTGTGCAGATTTGCATCYCCCACTGCAGCATTGCCCTCCGGGTGGGCGGTGCCCTGTTTTCATAGTGTAATCATAACAGAGTGGATCCCAAGGGAATTCTCGAGGGAACAATCCACAAAGGAAAGATCAGACTGTAACAAAAAAAATCAAACTTAATTCAGAGACTCCCCTGTCACAGCACAATACTATTTTTTTCAGTAGAGCTGCTTGYTTAAGAAATGTTTTGACAGAGTTTTCAGATAATCTTTTTACATCTTGAACAACCACAGAGGGGGAACGAGTGGCAGATTGTAGATTATCTGTTTTCTCTTTTCATCTTATCYGCTTATTTGCACAACTTAGACCCAGCTCAGGATGGTCCCAGGCCTGGACTCAAGTTGCAGGAATATTAATAATAGAATAATGAACGATCACTGGGCTTTGTTGAGTTGCCTAGCACCCCCTTTAATGCCTTTGCTGAACATTTTATTGGGCTTTCRTGATGGTGAGCCATAATAAACATCACCTGATTTCTAGCTAAAGAATACCTGCCCCCAGAAAATATGTTCAGCATGCTCGAATGGTTAAAGTGGGGAGCAGAAATGCAGGTCTTCTGTTTACAGGAGAAAATGCAAACAAATGCATTCTGCTCTAATTAGTTACCTGTTTTCTCAGCACCGATACTCATTTCTTTTGTAATACCATATGTATGCAGGCATTTCATCTCACYTTGCTAAGCAGTATGTGTATTTTATTGGATTTTCTACGCCCTTTTCAAAGGGATATTTGTTTCTTTATAAATGGGCTGGCCTTGTTTAACTTCCCCTTCATTAGGCTTGATTTTTTTTTGTATTCTAAACACGATGCTGCAGAAGGGTAATGGAGATGTGCAGGGATCAAGAAAGCGCTTTGCAAACATGAAGGGCCGGTTTCCAGCAGCCTGCCCTCCCAGTGGCAGCGAGGCACAGGGCTGTGCAGCACCAAGAGCAGCAGCCCCTTCACCTGCAACTGTGCAGGGCTACAAGGGACTAGCAGAGTGAGGAGGCTGGGGCTGGAGGCCCCCGTCGAGCTGCTCGCCTAAAGCAGGAGCTTGGGTTGAGCTTGTGGTTTGCAGCGTTTTCGGCTCTCCTCGGCGCTGGGCTAGCGAGCTCGCTGCACCGCCGCGCTCGGCCTCGCAGAGCAGTGCTCGCTCCTGCACGCGCTGCTTTTGAGGTGAAAAATGCCTTTTTGAGCAGCGCCCTGGCGCGAGGGAGCTGCAGGAGCCGCGCGGAGCATGCGGCTCACGGCGGGGCTCACCCGGCCCCGGCTCACTGCAGTACATTGGGAAGTAAATCTCTGTGTTTGGGTCATCAGAGGTTAATGAGTGTCCAACCTGCCTGAAAATTWCCCGATTTTCTCATTTGCGCCTGTGACCTTCAGTTTCCCATTATTATTATTATTTATTTATTTTATAAATAGTAGAAAATGCAAACAGTTGTTTCTGTGGCCGTGCCAGTCACTGTTGTATTAGGCTGCATGGTCAAGATTAGCAATGTAAAGTAGAACTTTTTCATATAGGTGACCAAAATCCAACATACCTCTAAGAGCAGTAACAAATATCTTTTATATCTCTGCTCCGCTGTTCTCCAAATAGCGTGCTTTTCCCTAGAAACACCTGGAAAATGAACAAATACTCCTCAAATGAGGCTACTCATGGCATTGTGAAAATAACTGGCTCCAGTTGCCCCAGTTAATGCCCAAGCCAAAGCTCCATCTCCGACCATCACGTTGAGCTCACGGTAGGAAACAGCAGCAGGACGTGCAGTGAAGGGGCTGGAGCAAAGCGCACAGGGTGAGAGTGATGGAGAAAGTGCCCGAGATGCTGATGCATGAGTGTCAATCACTTTCTTACTAAGCTTTACCAAGGTGCAAGCGTTCTAGCTTCGGGTTCCTTTGAACGACAGCTCTTGCTATTGAAAGATCGTAATCTTCAGCGGTTGGGAGCTTGTGAATTTGGTCGAGTCAGCCCGGTGCTCAGAAGCAGAGTTTGGCTCAAAGAGTTTTAAGATCCGAATGTTGCTTTAGCTCGAAGAAACAGATGAGCTGAGCTCATCTGAATAAAAATAGCTAAGGGGAAGCAACTGCTTCTGATTGCACAGCTAGATTATTTCTTTTTTTAAGTGTGTGTATTCTTTAAATTTTGATGTGGAAGAGAGGTCTCAAAAAAGGCATCTTATGGCTAGTAAAGATTTTGAATGTCCTGAAGGTCAAGGGTGCTGTGTTTTCTTGTGACCCAGAGGTCAGATTACAGTTTTAAAAAAAAAAAAAAAAAAAAAAAAAAGGAATTCCCCCTTTTATTTGTTTTAATTGCCATGTAAAAATTTGCAAGTCAGATGCTGTTGCTTGCATTGTGTTTACTCCCATTTGTGTACTGGTTACTGCTGCTCTGCTGCGAGCGATAGGGAAGTTTCGTGTTTCCCTGGGAGAAAAGTGCAAATGGACCGTGCTTTCCTCTGCCAAACTCTTATGGTGGCCACATGGACATCATGAATCATCGCTAGGACAATGTGGGTGGTGGAGGAACAACCCAAACAGAGCGTGCACATCTTTGGAGGGGATCCACCGCAAATCTCTGGGGCGGCGAGGCGGTGTGAGCAGAGGAGGTGGCGCTCGGCAACCTTTGCACTGCTGCAGCTGTCAGGGTCTCTGCAGCCTGGACTCTGCAAGTCCATTTAAAACAAATCAGTCTTTCCAGCCTCGGGGTTCTAGTGCCTTTTCCTCTGTCCGGCTTCACCCCAGTGACTCTCGTGTTGGTGGGCTTTTACCTGGAGCAGGTGGAGGTTGGCGCCACGGAAGGGTCACCAGAACTCACTGCAAGTGGGCTCATCATTCCCCCCAAAATTAAATCATTCCAGTTCTTGGAAATTTTAGGACTCCTTTTAGTCTTTTAGGACTCCTTCCAGTCCTAAAAGCAAGCGAGCAGGCAGGCGCTGCAGAGTTTTTGCTCTCAAACTTGCACTTTTCATTATTTCTGCTCTATCCTGTGCTAGCAGATGAGCACAGCAGCACTTTCTGGTTTTGGAGTTTCCATGCTCTATAAAGTTCTTTTGTTTATAAAGTGCATAAAAAAAAAAATAGACTTAATGATGCTCTCAGTCTTCGTGCACTGCTCTCTGCAAAACTTTAAAAGAAACTGCAGCCCACTAGAAAGCTTTTATATTTGCAAGTTAGTTGGAGAGAGCGAAGATGTGCTTGAAAATATATTTAATTGTTGTTAAAATGCTCARTAGATAAAAAGATGAAAAACTGAAGAATTTATAGCTTCTCAGCTTCTTTCTGGCCTGCAGCAGTAGCTCAGTGCTTCTGGGTGCTTGGGCACAATATTGGCTTATGAAAAGCAGCCAGGGAGCCTGGTGAAATGGGGCTAAGCTGTTCATGTGYTACGGGCTGTGGGAGCCCTGTGTTGGGTTGAGGAGCAAAGACCTGGCTCTGCAGTGCCAGGGAGCAAYGGGGCAGTCTTGACAAGGCAGGAGTTACTCGGAGCCTAGTTTTACCTGACAGGGTATCCCTGTAATCTGAAATYGCTTGTTGTGTTTGGAGCATGTGAAGTTCTGCTTGGTTTATATKCAATAAATGTGCTGTCTTGCAGTTTTCTGGGTAGTTGAGATGAGCACACAATCACTAGCACTTTCTCTGCTCATTTGGTGGCTGGAGTCCAGCATTTAAAGCTGGATATTTCGAAGTGGATGCACATCTTCTCTGCTCTAAACCTGCAAAGCGATGAGATGATGCTGGGAATAAATGTTAACTGTCCCTTTTGAGAGGCCCAGATGATTAGTAGCTTAGCTAAAGGTGACCATCTTGCAGGTTACTCTGCTCTCCTTATGCCTTGCGTTGTCCTTGAATAGAGCAGCTGCAAAGTGGAGCCCAAATTTGGTTGTTCTTGTGCCAAAAAGATGTCAAACTTGAGCGTCGAGGCACAGAACTGGGCAGGAGCAGGGGGGCTCGGTCTGCTCAGGTTTCTGTTTGCTCTTTCAAGCAAAAGGGGAAGACATCTCAGTAAATCCCATCCTTTGGGCAC